GGACAGTTATAAGCTGAGTAAAATATACCAAAGAGTAAAACAATATTTAAAGGTACCCAAGAGCACCTCACAATAAGGTTTCTGAGGGACCAATGTGTCAGAAAGAAGGACATCACAGAGTGGTCAATGCACAGGACCGCCCCCCACAGCAAGCATCCGGGGATGGATGAATGAATGAATGAGTGAATGAATACGCGGGAAGCGCGCGCTGCTGCCTGCCCTTTCGCGGTGTCCGGGTCAGAGGCCACTGTGAACCTGGGCACATCTTTTCCTCCGGTTCCTACCCCTGCAGCGCTGGTGGGAAGAGAGTAAACTTGGGGCGAGGGCTTGTCCCTGCGGACGGGGCGGGGCTGTCAGCGGAGGAGAGTGCAGACCCGCCCTCTGGGCCTGAGGATTCTACCCGGATTGGGGGTGGAAGCCACCAGAGGCCGTTTCCAGCTCAGCAGGAGGAGCAAGGACGGGAGGCTCCCATCCGTGCCGGCGAGCCTGGCCGCACGGAGGAGGGTCCCGGGAGCCGCTGGGAGGAGGGCGGCTGGAAAAGGAGAACCATCGGGTGGGAGGGAGGATTGATGACCTGCCAGCTCATTCCTGTCATCCTGCCATTCTGGGATTAGCTTTAATTCTTAAAGGTTGGTGTTCGCGGAGTTAGTTAATAAATTGTTCTGTTTCAGGGCGCTAAGCCAGTCATGTAAGGAAAGGTCTTCAAAGGGCCACGAAGCTCCATAATGACCCAGGGGAGCTTTGACACAAAGCGCATGGCTTTGCTGGAGCCTGGCCTGCTCTGCATAACATGTTTGCTATGTTCTCAGTGTGGCCCTGGAGCTGAATGTCGCCTCAGGAGGACAGTGGCTGCAGGACAGGGCCTTGCGGGGCTGGCACCCACCGTCCTGGCCCTCGGGCCCCCGGTGTGGTGCTCTGTGTCTGCCCAACCAAAGCTTCCTCACCCCATACACCACTGGGAAGATCACTCTTCGGACTACACAGAGCAAGTTATTACAGCCTGATGGATTCACAGCTGGCTTCTCCGATGGTACCAAAGGATGGGCCTCCACCAACTTTTTTTTTCGCTTTTTATTTACTTTTATTTAATTTTTTATTAAGTTATTACATGTGTCCTTATCCCGACATTACCCCAATTTTTTTTTAATATTAAGAATTAACTGCAAAGACACATGTAGATTCTTGACTGTCAGAGGGCAGAAGCCAACCATACATTAACATAGTCCCATTTCCAAATCTGGTCTGTTTCGGAGTTAAATGTGACTTTAAACTTGGAGAATTTTTCTTTTTTAATATGTTAAAATCACGGACTGTTAAGCCGTAGGAAACACCATCAACTACCGTCCTTTAAACTGTGAAAACAGTGATGAAATGGACTTTTGGGGCAACGCCATGGCCAATCGCAGATTTCCAATGTGTGGTTCCATCACACTTCCTTTCACTTTGGCAACAACAGTTACATATTTTTCAGGAGTTTGGATTTCAGTTCGGTTGGCCATATGTTGTTGTTTGTGCAACTCCTGTGGCTGAAAGGATGTATTATTGTCAGATTTGTCGTCTGTACTACAGACTCCCTTCGGTCTCTATGCATAAGGTGTACCATTCGTGTTTCTCATGAATGGTTGTAGGTGAACTGTATCACTGTCCCAATTTGTGCAGGTTCCAGTGCTGTTGCTAAGGACCTGCCACCACTTTGTGTTAGAAAATAGTTTAAGCATTTGCTTTGGGAAGCACTCTACCACACCTCAGCGGCTCAGCCTATTCAATATTCGTGGGGCAGACCTCCTCCGTGCACTAGGAAAGCTCTGGCATTTGGCACGTACCATCCAGCTGTCTGTGGTCCAGGCATCGTGCAGGGGTCCTGCCCCTGGAATCCAGTGGGGTCCACGCGGGCAGAGAGCTGAGGCGCCGGAGGCAGCGGCTTGGGCCGCTTGGGCTCACTCTGGCAGAGGCGGTGGGAGGATCTTGAATTGGGACGTTCAGGGACCTGGAAGAGGGAGCCTCTGGGACAGGTCACCTTCACTCCTTCACTCCTTCCCTCCAGCAGGCCCTTCCCTCCAGCTTTGCTCTCCCCTGTGCTGACCCCAGCCCCTCAGAGCAGGTCACTCAGCCCCCCTCCCTAAGCCTCTTCCTCGTTGAGTGGGTGTAGCGATGCTGGGTGGACAACCTGACACGGATAATGACGGTTTGGAACTATAATGAACTTACATTTTCCCTATAATCTCTTGCTTTCCCTTCTTCCAAAAAGAAAATCATTGTGCTAAGACGGCAAGTGAGTTACAGTGTCAGTGAATTTGAGTTCTGCATCCCAGCGGGATGTGGGAGAGCATCCGTTTACTTATATGTGATCTCGAGTGCCGGGCATGTTCTATTAACTGTTTTAGACATAACGTATTTCTAGATTTTTATTAAAAACACCCTTTTTAGTGTAGCCTGCAGTTGCTTTTTGCTCGTTATGTTCCTGTTCACGTGGTTGATGACGGGTTTGTTACACCCCTTCTCTCTCCCTCCATCTCTGCTGCCCTGGTGCTGACTCTCATCTGGCACTGGTTTCCCGACTGTCATCGGCTCAGAGAATGGGAGACTCTGGGGGGACCTGAGGCTCCCCCAGCCCGAGTCCCCTGCAGGAGCCCCTCCTCCAGCCCCCTGGCCAGTGTCTGTTTCTCTGGGGGAGCGAGGCTTAGAGTGGTGAAAAGCCAAAGCAACCTTTTCTGTTTAAAGATTTAAACTTTCAATTTTTAAAAAAGATGTAAGCCAGGCCGGTGTGGCTCCGTGGTTGAGCATCAGCTTATGAACCAGGAGGTCACGGTTCGATTCCCAGTCAGGGTACATGCCTGGCTTTCGGGCTTGATCCCCAGTGTGGGGCGTGCAGGAGGCAGCCGATCAATGATTTTCTCTCATCATTGGTGTTTCTATCTCTCTCTCCTTTTCCTTTCCTCTCTGAAATTAGAAAAAAGATATATATATTTTTTAAAAATGCAGGGAAACAGGGGGCATCTGTACAAAAATAAAAAATTTTAAAAATAGAAATAAAGAATTTAAAATTTTTTATTATAAATGTAATATTCATGGAAACGGGGGGGAGGAAGCTCCTTATGTATAACTGTAGTTATTCAGTAGTGGAATGCATAGCAGAGATAGAGCACGCGTGTGACTAGAAAACATGGCAGTGGCTCGCAAGGTTAACAAGCAGCATGCCATTTTATTATTCCGGGTAGCCTTGCTTAATTCTTATGCTGTGTCATTCCACAAAGAGTTTTCCCATTTAAAAAAAAATTACTGATTTTAGAGGTTGCGGGAGAGAAACATCGATTTGTCGTTCCACTTATTGAGATATTCATGGCTGATTCTGGTATGTGCCCTGACTGCGGATCGAACCTGTAATCTTGGCATATCAGGACAACACCCTAACAACTGAGCTACCCAGCCAGGCCGAGGTGAAACCTTTTTCTTTTTTTGTTTTTTTAATATATTTTATTGATTTTCTTACAGAGAGGAAGGGAGAGGGATAGAGAGCTAGAAACATTGATGAGAGAGAAACATCGATCAGCTGCCTCTTGCACACTCCCTACTGGGGATGTGCCCGCAACCAAGGTACATGCCCTTGACCGGAATTGAACCTGGGACCCTTCAGTCCGCAGGCCAAGGCTCTATCCACTGAGCCAAACAGGCCAGGGCTGAAACCTTTTTCTTGATCTTGGAATCTGATATACATTAGAATTTCGAGCTTGCAGATCACTCCTGTATGAAGGACAGATTTCTATCCGCTCAAACAAGAACAGCCACTTCGTTTTTGTGATGTAGTT